ACATATACATATATATATATATATATATATATATATATATATTATGTGTGTATGTGTATATATATTTGTATGAGTATATATGAACGTATCTATGTTAGTATCAAACTCATTTCTGAAGAAAAATTTATAATTGAGTTTTCTATCACACGAAAATTGTTATCCCGAATATTAGAAGAATCTTTAAAAACTTGTTTTCTTGTTGGTTTCTAAATACGTCTCTTTAAACAAAAGGTACCGGTTAGTTACCACGTGGAAGCAGGTCCATTATTCCTGTAGCCATACTGACAGATCGGAGCAGTGTGCAAGAAAGTTAAGTGTATACAAATACATCTAATTACACCCAAGTGGTTGTATGGACTCTAAAAGCTTGAGGTTCTACAGTTTATGTTCGTCTATATAGACTATGTTCTATAGAAATACAACCTTCTCACTTGATTAGTTTCAGACTTTATGTCAAATCTCTCTATAGCAATGCCGATGAATACTGTTTGCTTGATACTGGCGGGGAGAGGGGGATCAGTCTTTTCCTTACTTCCACTTTCTACTCATTGGGTAAGGAGGGAGTCACTACTAGGCTCCATTATCTGAATCAATAACAACCGTCATAAATGTATTACTGTGATAAACGGTACAAATTGGACGCTGGATATTCTGGGAGAAAGCGAACTACTCAAGTGGGGGTCGGGAAAGACAGAGAATGGTTGATGAAACATCAGAGATAGGGAATCAAAACTCCCACGTATTGTTTTCAAGATAAGACTTTAAAGACGATGTTCTTTTAAACAATATTATATCAAGACTAGACCATAATGGAGGGATAAAAAAAGGAAGAACTTTCTTATTTAATCCCATATAGAGAGATCAAATTCGATACATGAAACATGTAACACACACGAAGAGAAAAAATGAATGACGGATGATGAGTATAAAATGATCATTTAAATTTAAAAAACTCAATTTTACGTCAACGTTTTGAATGCATAAATTTTTAGTACGTTTAGGATATTGAAAATACGTATACTTATTTTAAACGTATTGGTGTTTTGAGATATTAAACCTTATTGTATAAGTCGGACTTGTGACACATACATTTAATGATCTACAGAAAAACTGAGTTTATATATTTGTTTTCATAATCGAACATTTCGACATTATTGTTGATAACTTCAGCATTGTTTAAACTGACTGCACTATCTATGCGTTTTGAATGCCTTAGAGCTAAATCAAATTGTCTTTAGAAATATACATGAAACACAGCACTAAGTGCTTCAAAACGTAAATACCAAATAAAGATAAAGTTAGTAATTCTCAATTAACAAAATACAAAATCAATAGAACCTCAAAATTGAACTCAAGCATAGATTTTACTATGACGAAATATAATATATATAAATCGACTGTTTCCTCCTGCAAGTTCCTTTCCAAATTGAGAAAGCCTTACGAACTTCTATCACCTAGAATATTACATTAGAAAATGATTATCGAGGCGAGGAAACGGCCTAGAACGTTCTCTTGGTAAAGACCCATTACACTATTGTATCCTACATATAAACAAGCTGGTCTGCCGCCTGACACAAATTCGATTGTAGCCGAGCATGCTTAATCCGTTTAGAAAGAAGTATCACCAGGAAACTGAATTAAAACGCCTTCACGACAGGTTATGGGCAACACCGTAAATATTTCCTTTCCTAATGCTGGCTCGACGGAAATCTGGATTTTTACATTGGATATTTTAGCGACGGCGTTTAGACAATGGTTAACAAGCTCAAACTATACACATTTGTCGTTGTTTGGGTGAAAGAGTGTTTAGTGTAATTTATTTTACTTTTCAAAGCTTGAGTGTAATACAATGTGTGTGTTAATAAGATAACCAATAAGTACGTGCACTCTGTACAGTAGAATCTATAGTTAGAACAAGAATTATTCTGTTGACTGTAATATAGTTAGAACAAGAATTATTCTGTTGACTGT